TCTCTTGCAATGTTGCAATCTCTTCTCCTCCTCTTCCTGGGCATCCTAAATCTAATTGAAACAGAACTAATCCCACATGCTGCTAGGATTACTCTAGAGAAGCCACCCATTCTGCCTTTCCAACCTTCTTTCTGGAGGGGAGAACAGTCAGGGAAAGGAGATATTTCCTGCAAAAATCATTGCTTTTTTATCTATCCCCACAGAGCAGAGAGAGTGGAGAGGAAGGGATCTCAAGAGAATAAGCTCTTTGCATTGCATGCCCATAGCTCCCAGTCCCAGGCTGCAGTGTGATCACATTGCTTTTGATAGCAACAGCACTTAGACTTATATATCCCTTCACAGTACTTTACAGCCTTCTCTAAGCTGTTTACATAGTCAGCATATTGCCCCCAACAGTCTGGCTTCTCATTTTACCAACCTCAGAAGGATGGAAGGCTGAGGCAACCTTGAGCCGGTCAGGATCGAACTCCTGGCAGTGAGCAGAGTTAGCCTGCAATACTGCATTCTAACCACTGTGCCAGCATGGCACTTGATATCACAGAGAACAGGGGATTGACTTATTCTCCAAAGCACCTGAAGGCATTATAAGATTGGTCCCTAAAGAGAGAGCCAGCCTAGAAGTAGGGAGAAATTTTCTTATACTGAGAACATTAATCGGTATAGCATAGCTTGCCTCCTGGAGTTGGGTGTGCTCCATTGCTGAAGGTTTTCAAGAATAGAGTGGACAGCAGTTTGAACCAGATGGTCTAAGGTCTTTTGCCTTGGGCAGGAGATAAGGCCCATCTTTCCTTCAGTGCCCCACCAAAATGAGCTACAGATAGTCTTCAACTTACAACTATTTCTTTAGTGACCGTTCAAAGTTAAAACGGCTCTGGAAAAAGTGTCTTATGATCATTTTTCAGACTTAACAACCATTGCAGCATCCCCATAGTCACAAGATCAAACTTCAGACGCTTGGAAACTGGCATGTATTTATGATCTGTTGCCGTGTCCCAGGGTCACGTGATCCCCTTTGGTGACCTGACAAGCAAAGTCAATGGGGAAGCCAGATTCACTTAACAACCGTGTGAATGACTCCACAACTGCAGTGATTCACTGATCAACTGTGGCAAGAAAGGTCGTAAAATGGGGCAAAATACACTTAACAACTTTCTCACTTAGCAACAGAAACATTGGACTCAATTGTGGTTGTAACTCGAGGACTACCTGTACCTGAGAAGACAGCCTATCTCCACTGCCCATTGGGGGGGGGGCTTTTCCATGTCAGTTTCTCTGCCTTCTCTCTCTCTTTAGACCCCGGAGACAATGCCGCCGGAGACATTCAAGAAGGTGGCTTTTGAGTTCGAAATCCCTGTTTGCAACGGTGTCATTGACTACGCAGCCTCCGACCTGGTTCAGTTCAAGCAGTACTGCTGTCTCCTCTGGGGAAGCGTCTTCTCCTTCCTGCAGCAAGTGGAGACTCTGACGAAGGACTATGCCGTTCCTTTGGCCATTGTCATGGGGAAGAAAGTGATGGACCTCATCCCAGATTTTGAGCTCAACCAGAGAGCAGCCCGGGAGGAAATCCTCTCGGTCTTAAAGAACATCTCCACTGTTCAGAAATTCCTAAAGCAGCCTGGCCGGAGATACAAAGGCCAAAATGGGACCGAAAAGGCAGCCACCAAGATCCAGGCAACATGGAGGTGCTACAGACTGAGAACTTCCTACATTGGATTCAGGCACCGGCAGTGGGCCTCGGGCATCATTGCCATTTCCTGGCTGATCCACGCCCACTTTCAGCGGGTCCGAAAGTCCCTGAAGGAATCGCGGCAGAGACACCTGGAGAACTTCCACCTCAGGACCAAGGTAGTTGCTTGGCCCCTTCATCTCAGCATCTGTGCCCAACGAATGCCATCAAATGTCCCCCCCCCATTTAACTCTCTTGTCCAAGCATATTTTACACTTCATTAAATGTGCAGCCTTTGCTGCCTGCAGTCTGCCTCCCCCCCCCCGAACAACCGCTGCTTTTGCTTTGCAGTGTGAAATTGGGAAAACAAAATCCCTCTGATTTGACTTGGGTCCTTCTCGTCAAAAAAGTATTCGGTAGGTGTGGAATAGACCACTTTTGATTGTATTTAGCAGCGCGCTTCTTAAGAGTTGCTTTTAGGAATAGCTTCTTTTTAGTTTTTCTGACTTCAGGTTCAAAAAGCACAACACAGAAGGAGGGGGGGGCGGTGAGACGGGGGGAGCACCTTAATAGCCAGACTGTTGTTTCTGGAAATAGTAACGGTCGGTGTACCTGTCAACTCTCCAGCTTCTGCCAATGCCAAGCCTTGGACATCATTACCCCTCGTCTCCTTCCCTGTCTCTGTCCTCTCCTTCCAATTTTACTCAATACCTGTACAGTACTATCATACCTTCAGTTTTACCTGTACATTATTTTTATTGTTCATGCCATTTATAGCCTGCTTTTCCCAGTCAGGTAATTAGAATAGAGCTGGAAGGGACCTTGGAGGTCTTCTAGTCCAGCCCCCCGCTCAAGCAGGAGAACCTATCACTTCTTCTCTATTAGTAAGAATTAGATCCAGTATAGCTTTACTTCTAGTTCCCTCCTCCACCTTTTGGATGACAAAGTTGTTAGCTAGGTTGGTTAGGAATCTGTTTGATCTCCCACTTGCTGCAGAGTTTGTCTCCCAGCTAATAACTGGGTAGTTGAAGTCTCCCATTACTATTGTGGTATGCTTCCTACATACGTTTGCTAACTGGTTGGCAAAGAGTCCATCTATTTCTTCTGATTGGTTGGGTGGCTTGTAGTCTACCCCTATGACAACGTCACTTTTTTTCCCTTTTATATACATTCTGGAGGGATTTTATCTTGGATCAAAGGGTCTAACAGAAGTTTTTAAAGGAAACTCCCAGGATGCTGTAAGTTGAGGTCCACACATCTTAAAAGTGGCTGAGGTTGAGCAACTCTGCCTGAGGGTTTTAAAGGCCAGCACTTCTAGCAATGTCCAGTAAGCCAGCTCTTCGCATCTGTGGAAATGTCAGGGTTCAAGGGCAGCTCCACCCAGAGCACACTGCGGTAGTCAAGACGGTGTAGTCAGGGCATGGATTCCGTGTTCCAGAGAGACCGTTTGGTGAGGCCCTGCCTCCTCCAGCAGCAAATGCGGCACCATCTTCCCGCCTCCTCTTCTCTGTGGTCCCTCCCCCCTTCTCTTCCTTTGCAACGCAATACCATGCACTTGATTTGTGGCCCACAAAAACAATCTCCCTCGCCTCTGTGGCAGTCACTACTTTGTCAGAAAGTACTTAAGTTTGCAGACAAGCTTTTAATTAGTGCTCACCATTTCATTTATGTTTGCTTTCTCTCTTTTTTTTCATTCATATTCTGTTAATTAAGTGATCAGCCTCTAATCTTCCCCTGCCAGTAGCTTCATGTAGCCATCTAATTAAATTAATTGGGGAAGATGTTTTAAGTATGTGATTAAATCAATTAATATAATTTATGCCTGGCTTAACTGTACAGTGGGAAAAAAAGAGGAGGGGGAACAGCTGAAGTTTGACTGGGTTGCATCCGCGGCAGGTCCCTCCTGTCACTGATCAATGCCTTTTCTTGATTTTTTAGCATCTGGCCGCCAACTGGAATCGCATCAGGAGCTCTAGGAGGACGATTATCCACATCCCATCGTTAGGTAGAAGGCTTTTGTCTCTGGGTCTATCAGCAACCCCTATTACACACCGCATTATGACTCCTTGATTGAGTTCAAGGAAGGCCTTGTTTTATTCAAATTGGTCTCGGCAGGAAAATGTTGTCGACATGATGAGAGTAATAACGGAGGGCCTTCACTTGAAACGGCGGCGTTTAATTTGGGGATTAAGCAAATAAAGTCATTATGTAGGGGCCGCTATTCAGCAGAGAGGTGATTTGCGGTAATTCGCTTCCCTCTGTATGAAATGAACTAAAAAGTTGTATTGTCTCCCCCTCCCACCCCCTTTTTCTTCCCTCTCTGCCGCCCTCCCCTTGGAACCCCCCCTCCCAGCCACCCAGACAGGGTTTCTGCTTGCCTTCCACAAGGAGGAGATGTGGGGTTTGCTGGCTTGGGTGCTGTTGCACCGCTAAGCCAGGATGCTGCTTGCACCCTGCTTTTAATCAAATGTGCAGTCAAAATGATAAGCCGCATTCTCTGAAATTATTTAGTTCTAATTACGAGCAGATGGGAGGGTTTATTTGCACCTTGGGCGCCTCAGCAAAAGGAAATGCCGTGGTGAACAAGAATAATTAAGAAGTTGAATAGTGGGGTGGATTTTTTTGTGTGTGTGCTTAAATAATCTGCAGCTCCATGTTAATTAGCACTCGGGTAATTATTTAATTACATTTATGAATTGGGGGGCTTAAGAGTCATTTCCCTGTACAGCAGTGGGGATTTCTTGATCCAAGATGTTTCTCAAAAGGATCTTTCTAGGAAATGGCTGAAAATGGGAACAGCGGCCCACTTTTTAAAATAAACGAGGCAACTTTCTTTTAATTGGGGGCAAATAGAAAATGTCTCTGTAGAAGGTATCCGAGCGGCCTTCCTTTTGATCCTCTGTGGCCATCACTGCAGCTGTGGAGTCGCTGAGCGGCTGATGGAAGGGGCGGCTCTGGGCATCCTCGCCCGAGCTGCCCTCACCTCCGAAGCCCTGCTCTTCTCCAGACCCCCCTTTAAAGTCTCAGGTGAAGCTTGCAGAATGCTGAGTCCAGGTTTATTATAGTCAAAGACCAGAGACCAGAGCAAGTTAAAAACACTCAAGAATATCCAGTTAAAAATTCTAAAATTAAATAATAAAAAAACAGATAAAATCACAATTAGGCATCCAAATTCTGTCAGTTGTACACGAGCAAAACGCAGCATGGTCTAACTATAATATGATACCAATCCTTAAACTGTGAGGCCCATACTCATTAAATACTAAAAGGCAAAGAGAGTCATAATTCAAAAGGGTTTGCTGCATTAATTGTGTAAAATAGCTATGATGGATCAATCACCTGTTTCAGACAAATCCCCAGGGCTGCTGCTGCTGCCCACAGTCTGAGCCACCTGTACTGAAGCTTGCAGGATGCACATCACAAAATTTCTCTTTCCTTTTTTTTTAAAACAACAACAACAACAACAACAACTTTCTGCTGCTTTTGATTGAAATGCAAGCAGCACATTAGAATATCCTTAGCTTCTTAAAAACAGAAATGTAGGCAAACACCTCAGCTATCCTTGGAGAAATCCTGTCTTGGATACAGTAAAAAGGCAGGGAGGCTTTTGAGGAAGTGAAATGGGTTAATGGTCTTGATATTATTTTTTTCTTTTCTATTATCAAATGTCACTGCAAAATATGTAAAAATATTAATCTCTTTTAAATAAATTATTGCTCTTTTTTGAAGACATTTTATACAGAAAATAAAAGACTAAAACTAAAACATGGAAATAAGGCAGCTGACTTCAAAGTGTCCTGAATCACAGTTCCTGGAAGAACAAACTATAGCCGGAATTTGTGGCTTTGGGCTGCTACTGTTACCCCATTTGAGATTCCTTGATTGATGCCACTAATAATGAAATCACATTTTTTTTACCTACAATGATATACATGCTTGTTAATGAACGTTTTCCCCTTTTAGTCAAACTTTTTTTTTTAATCTCCCCAAAGTGTACTTAAACATGTTTACAGAATGTTTTTCCAGTTGTCCTCTTAGGCCAATAGCCTCACCTGTGGGCCGAAGTTATACGTGGTGTGAGATGCTGTAGGGAGAGGTTAGAATTAGGCTTCCTGAAATCATCGAATTGTACTTAGGCTGTTGGCCGGGCCTTGGCGAGACCCAGGTTCACGTCTTCCCTCAACCACAGAAATTCCTCTCAGACCATCCTACCTCACAGGGTTGTAGTTGGCAAAAATGCCGTGTACTCCTGGAGAAAAGTTGGGATCTATATCTAACAAGCACAGAATTATTGTTTCCTATGTTGGATGTTATTTATTTCATTTTATTTATTTGATTTTTATCCAGCCTTTATTTCTTTATAAGTAACGCAAGGCAATTTTAAAGTACAAGCAGACCTCGACTTACGACTACATTTGAGCCCAAAATTTCTGTTGCTAAACAAGACATTTGTTAAGTGAATTTTGCCCCATTTTACAACCTTTCTTGCCACAGTTGTTAAGGGAATCACTGCAGTCGTTAAGTTAGTCACACAGTTGTTAAGTGAGTCTGGCTTCCCCACTGACTTTGCTTATCAGAAGGTTGAAAAGGGGGATCACGTGACTCCCCGGGACGCTGCAACCGTCATAAATAGGAATCAGTTGCCAAGCGTCTGAATTCTGATCACATGACCATTGAGATGCTCCAGCGGCCATAAGTGTGAAAAATGGTCATAGGTGACTTTTTCAATGCCATTGTAACTTCAAATGGTCACTAAATCAGCTGTTGTAACTACCTGCACAACGTGAGCTGGTTATGTTCTCAAATGCTTGAGCTCCAGGCACAAGAGCCGCTTGCCTTCCCTAGCAGATGGCGACACTTCTACTCTGTGCTTCCCCCAGGTAGACCAGGGGCTCTCCACCTTGGCAATTTAAGAGGGTTGCAGTTCAGTGGAAACACCCCCCCCCCACTGCTGGGGAATTCTGGGAGTTGAAGGCCGTTCCTCTTAAACTTGCCAAGGTTGAAAAACACTCAGTTATTTTTGCTTCGTTCTCTTCTGGAAAAGTAATTGGCATCATCTTAAGATGGAGACGTGAAGCTGGTTTAGAGACCAAAACTAAAATGCACAATATGGTTCCCTTCATTGCTCTACGTGCGCTTGCAGACATGACGGTTTGATGCTAGCTTTCTCTTAGAAGTGTGTGCATGCTTGTTGGCCTAATAGAAACTTTTTATATTCAAAAAATAAAGTTACCCTTGAATAAGTTCAGGGAGGTCCTCTGAGGTCCCTTCCAGCCCTGACATTCTATGTTTTATGCCTGTTTCCGGCCTGCCTTCTCTGTGCAGTTGGCCAGGCTGAGACGCTTGGGCTGTTGCCTTGAGATTGGTCCTTGATCCCCATTAAGCAGTAGACAGACTCGGTCGGGTAGATCTATAGAAGGGGAAGGTCCACCCTAGTGAAGGATACCCTGCTGTGATGGCATCCCAGGACCAGGGATTAGATTCCTTGTCAAGCTGCTAAGAACAGTCCTCCAGACTTGCTTTTCAAAGTAGTTAATTGTACAGGTGAGACTCAAAATAGACTTACATACCCATGTAGTATGGCTGTATTACTGTTAGCCTTCTCATCTTTTCTACTGTCTTCTCCTATTGGTATCCTATGTTTATATTATTTTGTTGTTGTTTGTATACACTGAGAGCTATTCTATTCTATCACTCTATTCTATATTCTATTCTATTCTAGTCTCTATTCTATCATTCTATTCTATTCTATTTTATTCTATTATTTTGTAATTTCATTGTATTCTGTTCTGTTCTATTCTCTACAGAGAGAGAGAGATTGTGGGAGATTTTACTTTTATGCAGGATCAACAAACTAACAATCAAGGATTAGGGTTAGGGTTAGAGTTAGGGTCAATCCCCCACTTTGCCTGTTTTGGGTCTTTTCGGCTTCTGCCCATCTCTGGAAGTGCCTGTTATGCTTTCTCTTTGCCTTGTTCTGTGGGTGAGTTGTCTTTTGCACCCTTCTGTCCCAATAATCTGTGCAAGACCATTTATGACAACTTAAAAACATTTATGTGAATAAATTCTATTGCTACATGGAGAATTTTTTCCCCCTCAATGAAATGTTTAGGAGCAGAATATCAGAAACTAGGACTTTAGCGGTTACATATTTTAAGGTATCCCAGTCTGCTTAAATGGATTGAATTTAGATTACTTTTTGATACCATTGTCTATGAGAGCTAAATGGAACTTCAGTCTTCAAAAGCATATATCCAATGATGAAATTAGATGTAGCTCATGGCAGTTGCCTTCAAAATCTCCTAGTAAGCCTTTTGAAGCATTTGTTTGTTTGGCAACTGCTGAAAACAAGCCATTATGCTAGCTAGAAAGGTAATTTGTTTTTCTATAATTAATTGTCAGTTGTCAGATTTTATTCTGTGACCTTCCCCAAAGCCAGAAACTGAATGGCACACCTAAAATGTCTCCTATTTGTTTGCCCAAAATGTGTACATTGGATACAACTTTTCCAGGTTTTTGGAGGAATTTGAGACCCATTTGCAAAAATTCAGAGACCTTAATATAGAATTCTGAGGACAAAGCATAATTTTAATCTTGTTAGCAAACCCTGCAATAACAGCAGCACATCAAACCTGCACTTATTAAGCAGCACTTGGTATCGATTTTCTGACAAACTGTCCTGTTGACAATTGATCTTTTTACTTTTCCTTTTAATACCAAGACCGTTTCTATGCAATTAGCTTAATTTCAAAATATTTTTAGATGGGATTATCCAAAAGTGTTAAATAGAAAGCATTTTATAGGAATCACGCAATCGCTTTGAAGTATTTATTTTATATCATACTCACACATTCCCAGAGAAACAGACTTGCCATCCAGCCAGCGATGTGCTTGCGAAAACCCTCAGCGCATTATATCGGAAAGGGCCCAGCAAAAACCCTGCTTGTATTGTGTAATCCAGATGTCACAGTAATTGCAAATTAAAATGCTTTAATGCGAAAGGGAGAGCAAGAGAGAGAATATGTGTGTGAAAATTCAATTAATTTTGTTTTAACAGAAAGTGTTCTAGTTTTAATTATTCTATCAGGAAAAGACAACCGAGGCTTTAAATGTAGATGATTTTAGTATTTGTGATTTTAATCGTCTTGGTTTTAGCCTTGGTTTTGTCTTGTGTTTGCCATGTTTATATACTGTAGGAGCTGTTTTGAGCACTGTGTGAATAGAAAGCTGGGCAAGGTAATTCAAATAAAAACAAAGACATTTGCTCTTTTTTATTTTAGTAAATATTGATGGGTATGCATCCTAAAATGTGGAATAAAGTTGCATGTCAATTTATTATAACAATCCTCATTAATAAACACTCAATTTATTTGAGTGTTGTCATACTATCATTTTAAGAACTAGCACTATTAATTGCTTTTCATTATGATGTTCCCTGGTTTTTACCCAATCTTGCTCTCAGAGAAATGATAGCAAACAAGATAGTTAAAATTCATTAAGGGAGAATGCTGTGTTTGAACCTGAGGAAGATGCTGTATTTCTCCTCTTTCTGATTATCATTATAGGGAGATGCAATTCTTGTTCCTAATTATTTAAAAGCCAGATTAGAATTCTAGTAATATGTTTTTAAAAAATCCTGTACTTTATCGGAAAGCGTGGCTGTGTATCTTATTCAGAATTAGTCTAGTATATTTTTTTTCCAAATTTCAATTATTCAGAACGTAGTGTAAGAACATTGCAGTGTTCTTTTTTTTAATAGATGAATTGGCCTTGTACTGCTTGAAAGTTGATCTCAGTAGTTCTTACCTTATGTCTCATTTTCAATTTTATTATTTTTTCTGAAATATTAAAGGTATACTGAATTCCCCTCCCCAGCAAAAAAGAAAGAAAAGAAAAAGAAAAAAAGAGCAATATCCCAAGACATTGAGGTTGAACCTTCTATGGATGCAATGTGTGTTAATCAGTTGGGATTTTTTTCTTTCAGGATACAAGCAGTCACTTCGAGAGGCAGATCCAGATTTTGCTGTTCATCAGGGATCACAGTTTGGAAGGCTGTGCGAGATCAGAGGTACATTTTCCTTCCAGCAGCTTTGCATCTGTTGTGCTTCCAAAGAAAAGGGGTGCAGTTCAATGGACTCACATTCCTGAGCCAACAGATTATGCCCTCATTGCCATTTTGAAGGCTTACCTACTAGCTCAGCTGCGACGGAGACATTTGGCTTCCGTTTACCAGGTTGCATGAACCCAGCTTATTGTATCCTAACCAGCACATCATAACTCTCCCAAAGGTGCTTTTTTTCCCCAAGAGGCAACTGGGCTTTCTTTGTTTTTCCTTGACAACATTTCACTTCTCATCCAAGAAGCTACTTCAGTTCTGACTGAATGGTGGAGAACTGAAGAAGCTCCTTGGATGAGAAGTGAAATGTCTTCAAGCAAAAACAAAGGAAATCCAGTTGCCTCTTGAAAAAAGCACCTTTGGAACAACCATGACCTGGATGCTTGGGAATCTCCATAGACACATCATAATTCAGCAAGCCAGGACTTTGCATAATGTACAAACCTAGTTAATGTCTGTCAATTCCTTTGCAAAAATTACTGGCAGCCTGAGGTGCCCAAAAGTGTATTAGTTTTAAGTGCTTTTCAATATCTATACCAGTTTTCTCAACTTTAACAACTTTATAAGAAGCCCTGATTTACACAAAGCCATTGGATGTCATTATCAAATAATGTGGCCCTGGGTGCTGTGCTGTCCCGGTAACTCACACACACACATAGCTGTGGTTTAGCGGGTATATTAATATTCCTTTGCAATTCCTTCACAAAAACCCAGAACTGTCCCAATTAAGTCCAGCCACAAGCAGACCAATGCTAGTCCACAGACCAATGGACAGTGAATCCACAAGGCACTTGAAAGTTTCCCAATCAAAAACCCACCAGGCAAAATTAAATCACAATACAAGAGGGATCACGAGGCAAGAAAAGTCCAGAGTCAGGGCACTGCAAGGCAAGAATCCCATTTTGTAAACTTTTCTATTTAGTTACGAAGAGACTGGTCAGCCCTTTGTCCAGAATGGTATAGGTTCTCATGTTTGAGCAAAGGGTTGGACTAGAAGACCTCCAAGGTTCACATGGAACTTGGAAAGAAGCATAAAGGGAGGTGTGAGATTGTGATTGCAAAGGTGCTGTATTGTCCAGAATCGAGCAAGCTTCCCAGGAAGGGGAAGGGTAGTCGATCTGCGTCCCTCTAAAGCAGGGCTGGGGGACTGTGGCCCTTTTATGACTTGTGGACTTCAATTCTCAGAATTCTGTGAATTGAAGTCTACAAGTCATACAGGAGCCTTCGTTCCCCACTCCTGCTGTAAAGGGGATCAACGTAAAACTGGAAAAGTTCCCTTTTGGGGTTTTTCCCCTTCACTCCTTTAACAGAAGAGCAAAAAATACTAATTTGTCAGTGGCCAACATTGCTGGGTACCCAGAATGACACACTCTACATGATTCATGTATATTTCAGCATCATTATTATTTCATCAATGCCACTTGCACAAAAATGTGTCCTCAAAATTTATGGGAGCCTAAAATAATAACTTAATTGCCTTTATATATTATGAAGGCACTGATGTGGTTTTGTCCTCAGTGCAACTCTTTTATATTGTAGTGTTTATTTAAGGGACGATTCGTTACTTCTGAATGAGTTAGAAAGTTATAGGCAGCCTAGAATCACACATGGCAAGTAGGCAGCTGCTGAAAGGACAGTTTCAGATATGAGGTCTTTATGATGTCTGTAACGTGTGATTCTCGAGGGAGCATCCTAGAAAATACTTTTTTGTGTGACCGTTACTTTTGCTGTGTCCCACAGAATGAACTTAATGGTATATTATCTGAAGGATAATTGCAAAGCATTAACTCTGATATCCCCAGCATTGTAATTTTAATGGTTTTATATAAAGCAATGCCACCTTGGATGCTCTTTACACTTCTGTCCAAAGAAAGCTTGCAATACGATTTAGTATGTCGAAGAAAGCAGAGGAAGGGGAAAATGTGGAAAGCACAACAAACTAAGCCAGTGTTTCTAAACCGTTGCAGCTTGAAGATGCTGGCTGGGGAATTCTGGGAGTTGAAGTCCATACCTCTTCAAGCTGCCAAGGTTGAGAAACACTGAACTAAGCCAAGCAAAGAAGGAAGTATTCTTTTTAGTGTCCAGAATAATTTGGTACCATCAGCAAACTCCCAATTCCCACTATGGATCACTTGTTCGTGGTCAAGTTAAATAGACCCTCTAGCGAGACATCATTTTCCTTTGAATAGGAGAGCTGTCATTCATATTTTCTCTTTACTTTAGCAAGCTCCTAATACAAAAAAGGGGGGACATGATTGTTACAATTGCTGAATAGTCTTTGGTAAGGGATTCTATCAAAACACGGGAGGTGTGGGTTCATATCCCACTTCTGACACTTCCCTTCTTTTAGAAGAGGGGGCCAACCTATCCTCCAAAGGGCCTGAAGGCAGCACAAGAAGCAGTGGATGAAAACTCATCAAGGAGAGAAGCAACCTGGAACTCAGGAGAAATTTCCTGACAGTGAAAACAATCAGTGGAACAGGTTGCTTCCAGAAGCTGTGAATGCTCCATCCCTGGATGCTTTTAAGAAGAGACGGGACAGCCATTTGCCTGGAATGGTCTAGGGTCTCCTGCTTGAGCAGGGGGTTGGACTGGAAGACCTCCAAGGTCCCTTCCAACTCTTTTATTCTATTATTCTATTAAACACTACCAGATCATACCCGTGCTTGATTTCCCTTTGCAACAGCCTTGGCGATTCTTCATCGGTTTGTCCTATACATTTTGAATACTATTTTTATAACCCTTTTCAATAATGCATCATAAACAAAGATTTCTAACTTATCAGAATCATATTCCCCCTGCTTTTTCTTTGTTTTAAAAAATAGTGTCACGTTGGCCATTCAGCAGGGGATTATTGGGTTAGAATGGGAACCTGGTGATTTTGGGAGCCTTCTTTGGTCCCCACCCTGCCAGAAGTAGGTGGAGTGCGCTAGATCAGGGGTCCCCAACCCCCGGGCCATGGCATGCCAGCAACAGGGCCGCACAAACAAGTGAAACTCCATCCACGGAATGCAGGTAGCACACAAAACCAGGCCCCCCTCTGGTTTGTGGAAAAACCTCTCTCCACAGAACTGGTCCCTGGTGCCCAAAAGGTTGGGGGCCAGTATTTTTCAACCTCAGCAACTTTAAGAAGGGTGGACTTCAACTCCCAGAATTCCCCAGCTAGAGTAGGGGAATTCTGGGAGTTGCAGTTCTTAAAAGTTGCTGATATTGAGATAGAGTCTGTTGAATTTCATTTTCCAAACCACACACACTTCCTGTCAAACTACAAAGTCAGTCATTTAGCTGTGTTACCTGAGATTTTGTGCTAGCATTTTGTAGATTTCATTTTGAAAGCCAGTTGTTCTACAAGTTGTTTGCCTTTAGTAAACAGGATGAAACTGAGGCACAACAATGGAGTAGGTAAAAGGAACAAAAAGTTAAAACATCTACTTTCTCTCTCAGGATAGCCAATGGGAAACCTGAAGCAATGTTACCTTTTTTTCTCAACAATTATCAATGTGTTGTGTTTTTTTCCCTCCTGTTAAAGATCCAAATGTGGACGTCATCTATATTTGCCCCTTAGAATTAAGTGAAGAGTTGCTGCGCTATTACAATAAATTCCTGGGTCTGCAGCCAGCCGTTCGGTCTGGGAACCCCGAGGACATTGCTGACCTACGGGACAGGTTCAAAATCCTCACCCCTGAAGCCATCAACAGTTTTCCTGTGAGTTTGTATCTTCTAATTACTATAGCTGGGGGGAATGCCGTAAAATTAAATTGGAAATTTTATAACTTGCAACGCTCTAGTACCCATCAGTGAAATATTATTGCAAGTGTTAAGAGCTGCACAGATTAAGTGACTAGTTAAAGAGTGTTAAAAATAAAACTCCAGTTGAGTTTTTCAGGCTGAAAGCTGAGCTCAGCTAAGGCCTTCACTGCTGATTCCTGCCCAATGCCTGGCCCTTTTTAAAAAGATGGACCTCAGAGGTTGACAACCTCACGGAAAGCAAATTGCACAAAATACTGCTCACATATCCTGTGGCTGAAGTGTGCAGATAGTTCCTATTCTCCGTTGTATATTCTTATACATACATGCACACACACACACACACACACACACACACAAATAAATGTAACTGAGTACACACACAGACACACACAGTGTATATGTTTATGTATGTGTGTGTGTACAATATATAATAGAAAATGTATAGAATATTTTTATATATTCTTATATAAAAATATTCTATATATTTTCTATTATATATTGTCCTACTCTCAGGTACAAATAGTTGCACACGATAGTAGGACAAGAAGTAGTGGATGGAAGCTCATTAAAGAAAGATCCAATCTGGAGCTAAAGAGAAATTTCCTGACGGTGAGAACAATTAATCAGTGGAACAACTTGCCTCCAGATGTTGTGGGTGCTCCATCACTGGAGGTTTTCAAAACTAGGCTGGACAACCTCCAGTCTCCTGCTTGAGTAGAGGTTGGAGTAGAAGACCTCCAAGATCCCTTCCAGCCCTATGATTCTATAAGACTTACTTTATTTATTTATTTAGCNAGGCACGTTGTCATGGGCAGCCTTGCACAATATGTTTAACAGTTTGCATATCAGCACCACAGTGGCGACCAGGGGAATCTTTCCATCCCCGCTGATACAGGGCAGAGGCGGCACCTCTTCCAGTAACAGGTCAAGACCAGGTGTTTTGGCAGAGGGGTCACCAAGGGTCAGGCCACAAGAAGGCCCCCTGGACCCTTCCGCTCTCCAGGTGCTCTAAGGCTTAAACTGGTGGAGGTTAAATTAATGGCTGTTTTCCATTTTCCATGCCTTTTCCATGGCCTTACATGGGTTTTCAGTCTATAAAACATGTCAAAACAACATAAGTTCAGAATTCTTCTGTGGTTTATGCTCCTTCACCCTCTCTGTTGTTTTTATTATTGTAGCAAAATCCAATTTATGACTTTTCTTTCCGTGCCCTTGAATTAGTTTCTGTTTTTAATTGAGAGGTGCTGGATTAGTAGTAGTTTTGAACCCTCTAGACAGATTTGATTCCCTTGCTTGTCAGTCCCCCTCTCTCAGCCTAACCCACCTCATAGGTTATTGTTGTGGGAAAACTAGAAGGAAGGAGTATTAGACATGTTCACTCCCTTGAGTTATTTATAAAAATAAGTAAGGTAAGATAAAAAATAAATAAATAACAATACATCCTCTCTAAAGGAAGGGTTCTCTGGTCCTCAAGAGTTTTGATCCGGCTGCAATGCAATAAATGTGGGTCCCATAAACTCTGTTGAAGTTGGTGATCTTGGCTATATCCCAAGAGCTGCTTATTTATTTCTGTGCATGAAATATAAAACCTTTTAACTGCAAGAAGAGTTCTGGGTCATTATTAGAACTATAAAATTATGATGCTGTTCTCTACGAGAACTCTGTTTGTGTTGTACTATCACAACAGGCATATCTACCAGGTCTTAAATTTTGTGCTGTTACAAGCTTGTTTGTATAGTTTAGCCAATTCATTGTTTTACAATGTTTAAAGACGTTGTTAAATACATGGCTTAGTGCAGCCTTCCAGAAGCTGTGATACAAGCCCCTCTTTGACCAGAAAAGGGGGGAAATTGTGGCTCAGAACATCTGGAGCATAGGTTTGGAGAAAAGAAATTAGGTTTGATCCATTGATCAATATAGTTTATTAGCTTTGTGTTGCCCATTTGTGCTGTGTATTATGTAAGCAGCTTCACTAACGTAAGTTTATTACTGACCATTAGAAATGAAAATAAACATAGGACAGTATGCAGGTATGCCTGGGGCATAAAGAATGTATTTTCAGTAACATGGATGAGCAGATGATGAATTCTTTATCAAAGAAAGCTAAACCCTTGTATTAAAGTTAAAACTGCAAATGTTATGAGAAAGGGGCATTAATAGCCATGTACAGATAGTCCTTGACTTACAACAGTTCATTTAGTGACCATTCAAAGTTACAGCGACACTGAAAGAAGTGACATGATAGTTTTTCACACTTATGACTGTTGCAGCATCCTCTTGGTCATGTGGTTTATATTCAGATGCTCGACAACTGCTTCATATTTATGACGGTAGCCATGTCTTGGGGTCATGTGATCCCCTTTTGCAACCTTTTGACAAGCAAAGTCAAAGCCAGGTTCACTTAACAACAGTGTTACTAACTTAACATCTGATTCACTTAACTTAATGATTCACTTAACAATTGTGGCAAGAAAGGTCGTAAAATGGGGCAAACCTCACTTAGTGACCATCTCGCTTAGCAACAGAAATTCTGGGCTCAATTATGGTGATAAGTCAAGGACTACCTGTGTGTAAACATAACATCAGAGTTTGGTCAGCATAAAATGCAACATCTGAGCTTTGAAAACAAAATGAGCTCAGATTTCTTGGAAGATATCTCTGTTTCTGTATTTGTTTGTTTGTTTGTTTGTTTGTTTATTTACTTGCAACCTGCCTCGCTGTGGGGCTACTCTAGGTGGCTCACATTTGCAGAGGAGTTCCCGAGCTTCCTCGGTGATTCTTTGGCACTAGGGGGATTTTCAGAAGTACCTTTGGAAAGGCATCGGGGAGAGGGGGGCGCTCTGCTCTTTTGGATCCCATGCAGATATTTTTTTTTAGCATATGATGATGTTAAGCTTGTTCTAATCTATCACTAAAATTAATGGGGGCTGACTTATAGTGGCTTTACAGGCAATGTGATGCTATGCAATGCCATACAATACAATACAACAACACAACGCAAGTCTCCAGAAGAATATGCCCTAAATATTACCAATTGGTTAGGTACAGGGCCTGTCTTACTTGTTTATGCTCTTGCCAGATCCCTCCACAGGTTTATGGTTTTTTATCCGGTTCTACGTATCTTTTGTTTGTTCCTCCCCTATTTTAGGCACACTTTATAGCAGGACATTTTACAGATTATAAAGACAAAATAGGCTTGCTACTGAGAGTATCATTAAGAGAGAGTTTCAGGCAATCACAGATCCCTGATGAATATTCCAGCACAATTTATGTTTGCAAACAACCAGTTGTCTCACAATCTATATGTTGTGAAGATACACTGAAAATACAATTTGTGACACATTCCAAACGTTTGGTTTGTAATTTTTTTAAACAACCCTTTTTGACCCAAATGACTGTTGCAGAAAGGGTTTGTAGCTAATTAAACTATTTATCCTGTGGAATAGAATATGGCACCTAAAAGGTGTTTTGTAAATGAAATCATTTACTGAAAGAGCCATTTAAAGTGCTGATCTGTATGGACTGAAATACAAACTCGGCCGGCTTGGGGTGCATTCTTCTTCTTCTTCTTTCTTCTTTTTTTGGTATTGATTTTTCCCCCTGATGTGGTAGAATCAAACGGTGCCAGAAGTGTTGAGATGAATCACTGTTATCCAAGGGCTGCAAGCTTCTCTTCCGAGTGACAGAAGGAGAATTCCGCATGGATCAAATAAATACAGATGTGTAGTAATTAGTTTTATTCCCAGCGAGCCCATTTCCGACACACTAAAGATGTGAGTGATTATGGAACCTCACCCCAACAGCTTTTATCAATTTAAACTGCTACGCTACAGGATAGGTCATAACCCAGCCTGCTATTAATAATGTATTTATTGCGCTCAACATTATAAATTAGCTTGGTGGAAGGAAGAGAAAGTGCACTTCTTAACGAGACTAATGTCCTCCTCCTCCTCCAGAACCGCCCCATGTCCCTGGCTACCTTCATGAAATACAGCCCTAGGACCATTAAAAGGGTCAAAAACCTGATCCAAGGCAAGGAAGCCTATATTGTGGGAGGTCTTCTGAACCAAGATGACCTGGAAGTGGCCGACGTGCTAGACATGCCCATTCTGGGCTCTGACCCGGAAGTGGCTCATCTCTACAGCACCAAGTCCGGAAACAAAAGAGTCTTTGATGCTGCAGGGGTTCCGGTGCCTCCCGGGCAGCAGGACGTCTACAGCAGGCAGCAGGTAAGATTGGCCACTGGCTGGGCAAGTCGGGGAAATCTGAGCGGAGACTATGCTTTCCCTTCCATTCTTACTTGGCTAGAGCTCAGCTTATGCTGCCCAGGTACCAGAGGGCTGAGGTCCATAACTGACTCAGCCCTGGAACTCAGATCCTGAATGGTCTTACAGTACATGGTGATGACCTGGTGATGACCTTGGGAGACGGGAGAAGAGATGCTGCCTGTGGAACAGTCAGGTAAGAGGAGATGTCGCTCTCAGCTGTATAATGGGCAGAGAAAAGGGTTCAGAAGGGACCCTCCTAATTTGGGGACTGTAAAAGAGAACATTTGTACTTTCAGAGTTGCACGATTCTGCAAGATCCAATCTGAGTCTGTCCCTGGGACCAGAGGTTTAGTCTTCTGAACATTTGGACTCGTGCTGGAGCCCATCCTCAGGGAATGAATGTGACCCAGATTGGATCCTGCAACATTATCTGGGAACACGTATATTTACCTTTATTCGTTTCACAATTCGGTTAATGTAGAGTATATGCTTTGAATTAAAGTCTGGAGGGGAAAGTGGAAGGCATTTCCAGTTCTAAATTGACCAAATTTCAGGAATGATATGGACAATCTTATTAAAGAAGATGGAGTGGAATGCTATGGGATGTAGGTTCTGTTGGTGAAATCAAAGCTAAAAATAGTTCATGTACCTTATTGACTGTATAGAAATTAAGAGTCTTCTACAGCATTAAACAGAATTGCTAAATAATTGCAAGGGAGCAAGATATAAATGTAGGGTCCTTGATGCTCTGTGAGCATGGTGAGTTTCTTGCAGACGTTTCATTACCAAACTAGGTAACATCATCAGTGCTGATCGTGTTACCTAGTTTGGTAATGAAATGTCTGCAAGAAAACTACCAGGCTCAGAGAGCACCGTGGACCTCCCAATTCAACCCTGAGCTATACATGTTCTTTTCTATCAATATAAACGTAGTGAGACTTCAAATGACTCATTGCAGTTGAATCATATAGAGACCCTATGTATGAGTTTTCCTTGGCCAGCATTCAGCACGGCTTTGTTCTAGGTACGCTTCCAGCTTCTGCTGATGTCACACAAAAAACATTGGCTCCCAAAGTTACAGCAGTTATGCATGGAAAAGATGGATGTCTGCAGGACATAAGATTTGGTGTATACAGTTCTCTGCATATTGCTTCCATTTGGGCCAGATCCTATCTGTGGGAGCCAAACTGGATTCTCTCCTGCAGACATTCAGGCTGAATGTACAGATGCTTGCTGGGAAGCATCATTAGAGCATCACTGGCACTTATCCCAAGTGAGCCTTCCAGAATAAAAACACCTGAATGGGTCTCCTTCCTGCCTCAAATCATTGCTTTTTAATGTGCAGTTCTTCTTGCTAGTTTCCAGGGCTTGAAGCATTCTGGACCATCAGTAGCAGTCATGAACAATTATGTTAATACTTATTTATAACATTAGCCTTTCCAGTTTTAAATGAACGATGTTTTCAGACAAATCCTCTACCTGCTTGTGTTCCAGGAAAACCTAAAGATATTAGAGGTCGAGGTAATTGTCTGAAAAAAGTCTCAAAAAGCCAATCCTGGGCTGTATTGGAAAGCCCCCTGTAATGTCTGGTTTCTCACCCGTCCTGGCTTTGTGATGAGTTTAAAAGATGGCTGTTTACTCAGTGCCAAAGACAATAGCTCCAGTGGCAGTGAGTATTGTATGAGGTCAAATACCTTCATCAGATCTATGAGTTTCCAGGGGATCATTTATCCCTTGACCTACAACCACAATTGAGCCCAAAATTTCCGTTGCTAAGTGAGACAGTTAAGTGAATTTTGCCCCATTTTATGCCCTTTCTTGCCACAGCTGTTAAATGAATCACTACAGTTGTTAAGTTAGTAATGGGGTTAAGTGAATCTGGCTTCCCCATTGACTTTCCTTGTCAGAAAGGTGCAAAGGGGAATCACATGACTCCGGGACATGGCAACCGTCATAAATATGAGTCAGTTTGATTTCGCCCCGCTGAGGACCCTAAAAAGGGTCCAAAGTTGCCCTGAAGAGGCGATGGAGAAGGAGGGGACCCTCGTTGATCGCGGGAAGGCAGTGGCCCTTCCGTTTGATCCGAGGAAGCCCTCCAAACCAGCGGGGGAAAGACTGGCTACATTCGTGTGGCCAGTCAGAAGCTGCTGACAACCAAAGAAACATGGATGGAACTGAGTGAGACCCTATCCTCTCTTTATGACTTTAAGACTTTTTCCTGGAAAAACCACCCAAAGCAAAGAATCCTCCCTGATGAGAGAGGGAAGGGGAATTCTCACCCCATTCCCTCAGGAAAAGAAAAGTGGCGAATTAATTGCTTGGGAGAAAATAGAGAAAATTACAAGATTAATTTGGAAGCAATACACATATATAACTTTGAAATTTGGGGACTAAAAGTGCTTTTGAGATTTTTTTTTTTAAAAAAAAGACTTTAAAAGCTTGTAATATAAGTTTGGATGTAAAAAGCTGGAAGACGGCGTCACCGACATCTAGTGGCGAGCTACAGCACTACAATTTATTATGCCCTAAAGGAAACTTGGATGGAAGTCCAGACTCAGATAAGACTCTTACTGTTTTCAGGAACTTTTTTTTTTAAACATTTTTTTTTTAACATAATCACCTTAATATTTGGTAAACAGCGTGTTGTCTGGGTTTATATTTACAAACAATCAATAACAATTTGGTTTCTATCATTCCATAATCCACATAGTAGCTTTCCTTGATTTTCTTTTCTTCCAATAATATTCTCATTTATCAACCTTAAATTAGTATATTTCTTAGTATTTTAATAGATAACAATTGAATATAAACACTTTTCTAGTATGTCTACAAGTAACAATCACATCAATGTGAAGCATCTTTTCTAATTAATCATCTTAATCACCTTGTCATAGATCCTGTTTTTAAAATTCTTATTTAAATTTATTTTCCCCACAATGTTCGAAAACATTTTACCTGTTAAGATTTTCTTAGAGTTAATTACACTTAAGTATTTAAGTCTTTTTCCTCATACAAGCCATCCCAACAATTTTACATTTCTCATATCTTAAAACAAAAACAAAAAAAGAGAAGAAGGAAATAGTATACTACTTGAAAAACATGTCCCTCTTAAGCTAAAATACATTTATGTCCAAAAATGTTTCTATTCTTTTTAACCATATTCAAACAAATATTTAATCTTTAAGTATTCCATCTAATAGATCCACAGCTAATCTTTTAAAACTATTCAGGAACTTTCACTTTCGAAGACTGCAACTGGGAAAAGGGGGGAAAAACCCAACCTCTTGGGCTGCTTATCTGTGGCAGAGACAATAAACTATTTTGAAACTGGCCTGCCTGGACCATGAATATAAATACTAACTGACTTTTAGAGCTGTGTCATGGAGCTATTTCCCTATAGAAGAAACATGCATTATTGATTGAGATGATGGAATACTTTGGACTATAAACCTTTGATTGATGAACAATTTTTAATTGCTCTTCTCTGGACAGAAAGAATGTGTTTTTCATTGGACAGAAAAATTTGAAAAATTCGAACTTTACTTATATTTGCCGAGGGGAGACTTAAGGACAGACTGATAGGCTGGCTGGATAATTAGGAATTCAAATGACAATTGACTGAAACTTTTTAAATCCCTAAATAGATTGGACTATAAAGACTACATACAAAAACAAAATAGATGTTCCATACTTAGCTTCAAATGGTAAAAAATCATCCCTAACTTCTGTCCCCAGAGTCCCTAGCTTGACATACCAACAAGAAAATGTTGATGAATTTCAGAAAGAAATTCTTCCTATGTTAAAATCAATACAAGAGACGATTGCCTTAGCTCATGATGAGACTAAAAATAACACAAAGGAGATAAAAGAACAATTCTTTAATCTAAATCTACAAACTCAGAAAATGACTACAAAGAAGGAACTAGCAACCCAGAAAATAGAAGGAAAATCAGAGGAAGCAGATCCAAAGATGGAGGACCTAAAGAAAGGAACTAACAGACAGACTCAGACAAATGAAGAATTAGAAGACGTAGCGATAATATCAGAAATGGAAAAGATATCTTACCTGTCAAGATCTCAGAACACACTTGAGGATAAGAAAGAAGAGCTGATTGAATGGAAGATAGAGCTGTTAGGAGAATTGTGGGAAATTGGAGAAGGAGGGAAGCTGTTTAATGAATATCAATAGGCTGAGCGTCCTTCCAAAAATACTTTAATCAAATTGTCTTTCTTATTCCAAATAATATACACAAAAATAGAGGAAGAATTACTTGTTGATTCAAATGCATTGACTTGGAAAGTTAGTTGGCAAAGGAAGAAAACTAGAGTAAGACTGAAGAAAATAGAGGTTTTGACCCATTAGATGGGATATTATACTATACTATACATACTAATCAGATGTTTGAACATGGCTGAGAATAGATAATTGTTAGAACTATTATTATAACTAGAAAGATAGGATTTATAACTAGAATATTATATTTTGGCACGAGAAGGGAAATATGAAAATGCTAAGAAGGTTTGAATAAGGGAAGCTTTTGGTTACCCAAAAATAACTTATTATGAAAAATTATAAGTGATGGAGACATTTTGAACACTGATGGAAAATTAAAAGTAAAAAAAAGCGGGGAAAAACAGGATATTAATTCAACAAATGGATATTAAGTGCAATGCAATTAAGATATATTTTTGTTAGAAAATATATTTTAAACTGACATTATTGATATTATTAGGCAAATGTAACAAAGATGTTGATATTCAATTGTATATGTATTAACAATAAGAATTGTATATGTGGGAAAATGTGTACTACCAGAAGGAGAGAGGAAGAGAGGAAGCACTGCATGGTGTAATATTGGACCTAGATTGAAGAAGTTAATATGTACCACTGAATTACTAATGGACCCAGGACAACTTGTTTATTACTTATGACTGTAAAACTAGAAAATTAATAAAATATTTATTTAAAAAGTTATACTTTCCATCTCTTTAACAAGGAGTATTTTTCTATCTAGTAAAAAAAAATTGAATAGAAGTACATTTCAAATAGTCAATATTATTTGACTGTTTGAAATTACTGTTTGAAATTTACTATTTCAATATTTCAAATACTTTTTATAATACATCATGCATATTATAAAAAAGATGTATAATATGTCACTATTATAAAAAAGAGTCTCTGGAAAGAGTGCAGAAAAGAGCAACAAAGATGATTAGGGGGCTGGAGGCTAAACATACGAAGAACAGTTGTAGGAACTGAGTACGTATATTCTAGTGAAAAGAAGGACTAGGGGTGACATGATAGCAGTGTTCCAATATTTGAGGGGCTGCCACAAAAAAGAGGGGTCAACCTATTCTCCAGAGCACCTGAGGGCAGCACAAGAAGCAACAGATGGAAACTTATCAAGGAGAGAATCAACTTTAGAACTAAAGAGAAACTTCCTGACAGTGAAAACAAATGGAACAGAAGTTGCCTTCAGAAATTGTGGGTGCTTCATCACTGGAGGCTTTTAAGAAGAGACTGGACAACCATTTATCTGCAATGGTATAGGTCTAGGATCTCCTGCTTAAGCAAGGGGTTGGACTAGAAGACCTCCAAAGTTCCTTCCAACTCTGTTATTCTATTATGTTCCTGATCATATATTATCTAGTGCTCTTATGTTCCTTCCCTCTTGGTTTAATCTGTGTGTCGTGCAGAACATCTGGACAGAGGTTTAAAACATCAATTACAGCAGGAGCGGGACTAAAATGGAAAATAAAATCTTTACATTTTTCTCCTCCAGATGATCGAAGTTCTCAGTCAGCTGATTGTAGACAACCCAGAAGTGCAACGTTGGGTGTTCAAGGTGGATAATGAATTTGGGGGAAATGGGACTGCATTTTGTGACATCACTAAACATCTCAAATGCTACCCTTGGATTATGAAGGAACGTCATCGATACGGACCAGAGATATGGAATAAGAGGTGGGCTCATGTAAGTCACTTTGGATTTCATAAATTTTGACCAGGTGATATCAAAAGACAAACCCTAGAAGGGAAAGTGCAGGGGATACTTCCAGGCTCTCGGTTCTGGATCAGTCACCATTAGAACCTCTTCTAATTGTAGCAGATTTTAGTTTGCTAAATAAAATCAGTAATGTCCAGGAATTCAGTGGTAGCTATTTTCAAACAGTGCTTCGATTAAGGACAAATCAGGCTGACAGGTTGACCTCATGTACGTCATCTTAGCCAATATTAATAATGTATAAACTTTCCAAACTGGAAGTTGCCATAATTTGTCACAATAGATACAATCTATTGTGAGATACAAGTTCTTGTGGAATAAGAATTCACGCTTGTATACTGAAGTTCTTGCAAGCGTTTACTAAAATAAATTTGTTAGTCAATGTATTTTTAAACCTTTGGGCAGAAAAGAAAAAAAGCTTTATGAAAACACAATAGAACTTTATGCAATGTATTAAAACAAGGTACTATTTATTTCCTGAACTCTTATCTGAACTTCTGTGTCTTAACAGAAGTATCTTCTTATTTACCCATCATGTCAGTAGCGTTTTATTCCAGTCATAAAACTCAGTGCTCAACTCCTGCAGCATCAAAGATGCTTTTTCCAAAAGGCAATTGCACTTTCTTGGTTTTTACCTTTGAAAATATTTCGCTTCTCATCTAAGAAGCTTGTTCAGTTGCAACTGAAGAAAACCACGACCTGGATGATTGAGAATCTCCACAGACAACTCCTGGTGCCGTGCATCCTTCTCTTCCTTTAGAGGTAGTCCTCAGATTATGACCCTAACTGGGATAAGAATTTCCATCGCTAAGTGAAGCAGTCGTTGAACAAAACAACACAACATCCACCATAGTTCCAGCAGTCCCCATTGCAGTTGTTAGGTCAGGACCTCATGCTTCTCTGCTCTGCACAAACTGCCTCTACTTCAGGTCCACACCTATCCCCCCCCCCCACAGCTCACATTGGAAGCGCCTGGCCCTTTGTGATGCCTTGCAGGAGGAAGGGTGCGCTGGGCGAGACAGGCTCCTCCATCCCTCTCTGAAGCCCATAGGCTGATTCTCCAGAGAAACTGCAGAGCACCTACTGTGCCTCATCCCTCCTCATCCTCCAGTTCGGCCGCTCCCACCCCAAACCGCAGTTCCCACACAGCTGCCACCTTCACCGGAAGAGCTGCAACTGCTCTCCATCCCAGCCCTCTGTGCTGTCCACGGTCTGCAGGCTATCACTCCTCATGCCAGTCATGGAAGATGGGGGTCCTTTACCTGCACCACCACCACCACCCGCCTGCATCCTTCCCTGGCTCCATCCTGCTGCCTCTCCTCTGGCTGTTCCTGGCAAGCTCCCTTAGGCAGATGAAGCTCCACCACCCTGAAATGCTTGCCAAACGTATCTTGGGTTGCACCCTTATCCAGCATTAGGATTCTGGGCTAGCAGTGGGACGAAGAAGACAACAAAGGTCATCTGGGGGCAGCTGGGGCCATGGGCAGGTGGTGAAGTGCAGGCTGGACAACAATGGAAAGATGGCAGGGAGATACAGTAGGTAGGTGTGGAGGGTTAAAACAGAGGCAGTTTGTGCACGTGATTGCCGGGTGCTTCCACAACAAGGACTTTGAGAGCTGGTTGTAACTACCATTTGCTCAGCACCTTCTTAACTTCCGTCACTGAACAAGTGGTTGCAACCTGAAGACTTCTTCTATTGTTATTGCTCTTTTCTGAAAGTCTCAATAGTTTCATTTGCTTATTTATTGCCTCTTGCGTAGGCAGTGATTTTGGCCATTCTGAACTTCCAGAAACCAATCAGAGGTTGAGTAGCCCACCCTAGACCCTCTTTTATGTCCCAGGTACTAGCCCGAATTGAACCAAAAGAATCAGATAGAAGAACATAATTAAATTGGGGTCATTCTAATGCAGCTTTTAGTGCAATGCATGAGTACTAAAAACAGCCACAAATTGGAAAAAAACAACAACAATCCCATAAAATTGTTATGGAATCGAAATGAATGGCAGAAAAGTAAATTACAGAAAATAACTACACTACTTGGATCCGTTCTTTCTGGATCTCTGTGAACTGCTCTGTTCTGACAATGGAAACAACACATTCAGGTGCAGAATCAAAGTGAGATTTGTTTTTGCAGGGGATTGGCAACCTGAGCTTCCAGACTCATAAATTACTGGATGATGCTTCCCACATTTTCTTAATGTCTTTTTTTCTGATGTTGGAATGTTGAGCTTGAATGATTCAAAATATAGAACATATAATAGTCCTGGAAAGTAATGGGGGGGAAATCTGCAACTAAATTTCCAAACCAGAGGAGTCACAGATTTCAAGAGTAAGCCACTGCCAGGGTTTAATGTGAATAATAATTCTGTGCTGAAGGGAATAAAGCTGGAATAGAGCAGAGCAGAGCAGAGCAGAATAGAATAACAGAGTTGGAAGGGACCTTAGAGGTCTTCTAGTCCAACCCCCTGCTCAGGCAGGAAACCATATACCATTTCAGACAAATAGCTGTCCAGTCTCTTCTTTAAAACTTCCAGTGTTGGAGCATTCACAACTTCTGGAGGCAAGCTTTTCCACTGGTTAATTGTCCTCACTGTCGGGAAATTTCTTCTTAGTTCTAGGTTTCTTCTCTCCTTGTTTAGTGTCCATCCATTGCTTCTTGTCCTGCCTTCAGGCGCTTTGGAAAATAATCTGACCCCCTCTTCTTTGTGGTAACTTTGAATGGTCTTTAAACAGGGCAGTCAGACTACTGTGTTAGTCTACAGTAACCAAAAATGAGGGAGTCTGCTAGCACCTTTTCAGATAAACTGATTTTATTAAAAGATTTCTGTTTGATGAGCCATAGCTTGCTTCATTGGATGCATCAGATAAAGTGAGCTGTAGCACCTGAAAGCATCTGCCCTTTAATGACATCCATAGATTTAATATTTTTTTCAATTAAACTAATCAATTGATTAATTTTTTTTCTATTGAATAAGGGAATGGGCTTTTAATCTGCAATCCAATATAACACTGTGGCCCTGAATATTATCATCATGATTATCAATATATTATATCATTCATGTCTAGCTTTTTTTAAGCACTGACAACTTCCTTTTTTCTATTTTTGCTCTTGAAACCAAGCAACAGGCCAGCCAAGCCCACATATAATAAGTTTTACAATGTTATGATTTTAAGAAGCAAGCAAAATCTCTTAAATTTCTAAAAATTTACTGGAACAAACTCGCTTTTCACTGGGAACTCCCTAGATAAGGGTTTCTTCTCATTTTATCATCACAACAGTCCTGTAATGTTGCATCTGATGAAGTGAGCTGTGATTCATGAAAATTTTTGTGTTTTAATAAAATTTGTTAGCATGAGGCCTCCTGATTTTTAACTTACTCAGAACCTCTCTTTCAGTCAGCACAATCATTTTGCATTGCATCGTCAAATCTAAACATGTATTGTGTGAGCGGCTGAGCTGTATGTCAGGATGTTGTGATGCACAAAACAAAGGCACAGGAAAGGGGATGAAGTTCCTTGATTTCTAACTGTCTCACCTTTCCATTTCATGCCTTTTTTCACTCTGCATCCATCTTTCTTTCAGAAATAAATTGCAGTCTCCACTCAGTATTGCCTCTGAATGACGAGGATTAAAACCTCCCTTTGTTACTGAATGCTCTTGTGATACTTCTGAGTCCAGATATCAAAGCATTACTTTATGAGCACGGGCGTGCTTTAATGTCCTATTACAGTACGGAGACCTGCTTTTGATAATGAAGACATTGTGTCATCGACTTAAGCTGCCAGATACCAAACATATGCTGGCAGGTTATTAAAAAAAATCAGCTTTGTGATAAAAGACTCTCCTGCAGGCTAAGAGTACATGGAAAAAGACTCTCCATTCCAGTAGAGTTATTAGAAATGAGAATATGACTCTAAGCGCTAAATTATGTTAATACTTACAAATAGCATCATTTGCATAGCAGTTTATGACATGATCCCAAGATTCTTTCTTCATTGGTATGTAGCAGGGCAACGATTAAGCATAAAGCAGTTTATAAGAGTTCCTACTGTGTGTTGCTATTCCATTTTCAAATGTAGCCCAGTTGTTGGATCCTTGAGACACAATGATGACCACCCTGACCTGGATGAATACCTGGCTTCAAGAGAAGATCTATTGTCCAAGGATGTAGAGAGTCATTTCAATCTGAAACAAACTGTACTCACTTCTCAGTATTTAGTTCCAGTAGTTAGCATCTGTGGCACTCTCTCGTAGGTTTACTGGTATGGAATCTGGTAAGAAGTTATTTGATGACCATTGATGAATTAACTTCTAAACCTCTCCAGCCTTGGGACAAAATGAGAGATGGACTGGAGCAAAACACCTTGGAAAGAGAGAAGGAAGGTCATCCCGTTTCCAACTCACAACAAGATGCAGTTCAGCGGTGAGAAAAGTAAGACCCAGCACTTAGACTGGAAAAACCAGATGTACAGGTACCAGATAGGCAGTACCTGGCTCAACAGTAGTGCCTGTGAGAGGGATCGAGGTGTCCTAGTGGACAACCACTTAAGTATGAGCCAGCAGTGTGCTGCAGCTGCCAAAAATGCCAACTCAGTCAAGAGGGATAGCATCAAGATCACAAGAAGTGATAATACTGCTTTATACTGCACTGGTAAGACCACACTTGGAATTCTCTGTCCAGTTCTGGTCACCACAATACAAAAAAGATGCTGAGACCCTAGGAAGAATGCAGAGAAGAGCAACAAAGATGATTAAGAGTCTGAAGGCTAAATCCTATGAAGAACAGCTAAAGGAATTAGTATGTTTAGCTTAATGAAGAGAAGAGGGGAAATATGATAGAAGTCTTCAAATACTTGAAGGGCTGCTACAAGGAAGAGGATGTCAAATTATTCCCCATAGCACCTGAGGGTAGGACAACAAGCAATATGTGGAAGCTCATCAGAGGTAGATCCAACTATTAAGCAGAGG